TTGTTAGCTGCCATCGAATTGGCCCTGACTCTTGGCCTGTGCACAGCCTAGTTGTATGCCATTCCCACAACTGGTTGTGAATTGGGCTGTTGTGATCCATGGGGTTTCCACTGGCTAATTTTCAGAAGCAGATTTCCAGATCTTTCTTTCTAGGCAATCTTAGTCTAGAAGCAGATACTAGGTTCCTTTTTTCCCCACAACAGGTTAATATCCAGACATCATTCCTCCATGTGTACTGGAGACTCAGTTACTTTCTATGGCTATCAGGGTGTGTAGATGTTTACCTCACAGATTTGGTACTCAGGATATGTGACCCTCTTTTCTCATACACACCCTTATGAGGGACATAGGAAGTACCCTGCTATGCCCTCAATATAGAACACATGTAAAGACTCCTCTCCCAAGTGGGAATAAACTTTTCCCATGCACATATATTTCTATCAATATATTCCCAAGTTATAATTTCTAGAAGAGTAAAACTGACACAGACCTGCTGGCCAGACTTTGCCAGTGTATTTATATCAAGTATTTTACAGGGAAGGCACAGGCAGGACAAATGTAAATGTTTAGAGAAAACAGATCTATAGGGAAAATAGTAGCTCACTTTGTCTTTTCTGAGGTGATGGGTTAACAGTGAAAAAGCAAAAGAAACAGACTAAAACTTGGCCATATCTGTTTAAGACTAGGAATGAAATGTTCCCCTACTGGGCTTTTAAGAGCTCTCCAGATCTCTGCAACTTCAGCACCATGGACTGACGCACAGCCTCAAGCTCTTCTGTAACTGGCTTTTATTGCTTTAATTAACCAAGACTAGGTGGGACAGATTTACTCCAGCTCTTTAATGTTATTGTTGCTCCCTTGTGGCTAGCAGCAGCTCATCACCTCTTGCACTTGATGCCTGGCCTGCACAATTAGCACCTTATTATAGGCTGGCCTCTCTTCTAATTACCATGCATTTCAATTGAGTACTTTGTTGTCTTGTTCAGGCATTAATTCAAGTGCCTGCATTCCGCAACAATAGATCCTAAACATCTTCTAGGCTGTTACTGTGTTTTGGATTTCTTTTTATTTGTTCAGGCCCATGAGGTCTCTCAGGCATGCAAACACCACTTCCTGATTGTATGAAGTTTTACGATGTCTATCTTGGGAATATGGCACACAGTTGGAAGCTGGGATGCCATGCCTATTTTGGCCTCCTCTGCATCATATCTATTGGCCTCCTTTGCTGACGAGGGTTCAGTTACTTGGAGGTAAGCTCTACTAGGCCTGCATCTAACCTTTTTCCTCATCTAAAAAAGGTTGGGCTGAAACGTACACAGAAACTTCCTACCAATAACACATTCCGTGTTCCTCTAGAAAAAAATACATGAGTTTATGCTTGAAATGGACTTGTCATTTTTGGAATTAAAAAAAATAAGGCTGGCGGTTCAAACCCACCAGCTGCTCCACAGAAAGAAGATGGGACAATCTACTCCCATAAAGATTTACTGCCTCAGAAACCCAATGAGGGTTGCTATGAGTCAGAATCACTTGATGGTGGTGAGGTTTTTTTTTTTTTTTTAAATAGTCCCTGAGTAACACAAAGAAGATCTGGTGGTGTAGTGCCTAAGGCATTTGACTGCTAACCAGAAGGTTGGCAGTTCAAAGCTGCCAGCCACTCCACGGAAGGAAGACTGGGTGATCTACTTCCGTAAAGATTTACTGCCTCAGAAACCCAATGGGGGTCGCTATGAGTTGGAATTGACTCAATGGAAGTGAGTTAAATTGAGAGTGGCACAAATGGTTAACTGTTTGACTACTAAAATGTTGAAAGGCTGGTGGTTCAAACCTACCCAGAGGTGTCTTGGAAGATAGGTCTGGTGATCTCCTTCCGAAAGCAATATGAAAACCCAGTGGAGTAGTTCTACTGTGCACAGTTACCATGAGTTGGAATTGACTCAATGACAACTAACATAGTTGCCAAGTAAACATAGGTCTCCTTCACCAAATATTCTGGTGAATGAAATGGAGGCTCAGGGAGATGGTATAGGTGATGGTTACAAATGCAGGCATGAAAGCTAGATGGCCTGGGCTCAAATCCTGGATCTACTACTTATTAGCCTAGCTATGTGACCTGTGACCATAGTCAAGACACTTAACCTTTCTGCACCCCAGTTTCCTAGTCTGTAAAATGGGGATAATAATAGTACCTTGGTCAAAGGCTTGTTGTGAGGACTGAATGAGTTAACTTCTGTAAAGTGCTTAGAACAATGCTTGGCACATAATCACCACTGTGTAAGTTTGTGCTACATAAAATTAATAGAGTTCAGCATTTTAGAATACACAAACCAAAAACCAAACTCGTTGCTGTCGAGTTGGATGCAACTTATAGCAACCCCTCCTTGGGTTTCCAAGGCTCTGTATCACTACGGAAGTAGATTGCCCAACATTCCTTCCGAGGAGTGGCTGGTGGGTTTGAACCTCCAGCCTTCTGGTTAGCAGTCAAATGCTTTAGGCACTTCACCACCAGAGCTCCTTTAGAATACACAGACCTATAAAATAATATGCCCCAAAAGAATCTGACAGTGATGGGAAAACAAGCTGGTTTAATGGAATTGTCTGCCATCCTTGACTTCTTAAATTTTGGCTTAAAAAAAGAACTCTGATTTTATGAGTTTTAAACATGTTGAATCATTATCATAACAAATATGACAAAAAGTGTTCTGGCAACATTTAAGCAGAACTAGTGAAGGTGCATTGTTTTAGCTAAAAATTTAAAATAAACATTCTACTGTTTACACCTCTTATATCTACTTGTCATAACATCAGACATTACTGAAAATAGTATTTATGTTATGTAATATAACACTATTGGCAACTACTGTTGACCTTCATTCTCCAGAAAGGAATTATTTGTGAGTTGTTAGGACAGTTCAAATATATATTGTGTATTTTAAAATAATGAAAGATTTTTCTCTGAAGATGACTGCGTGGTATCCAAATTCAAATTTTTCTTGTCCTGTGTCATTTCTCATCTGTCAATTTGCTGGCACCCTTTAAAGCCTCAACCCCCTGATATTTCCTAGGAACTAAATTCCCAATTCCAGGGACTCTCCTTTCTGCGCAATTACTAATACAAACGACTGTTTCCAACATCAGCAGTCCCTTGTTATCTCAACACACGGAGTTCCTCAGACAGAATTCAGCTGCCCAACCACACACAAAGCTATCTATATGTGCCACAACAAGTGGGGCAACTGTGCTTTCAATGGAGAGGAAACCCTTATAGCTTTACCTCTTCTTGTTTCGCTGGAAGGCCAAGTCCAATGCTGAAAGTCATCTTCCCTGTAGGTACATCTTTATAGAGAACTTTGTAGAGACTTTAGAAACAACTTACATCCTGTCTCTAAGCAGTGATCATGATTTTGTTCAGCAGTTAAATGCTTACGAATGGGGGCAGACACTTCCTCTCTGTAGCCTTCTCTGACTCACCTCCCGATTCTCAGTCCCACTGCACTCATTGGTGCTACCATCATAGCTCTTAACTACAATTTTCTGTGGTTTTGGGGACCCTTCCACCTCCCCCTCTGCACAGGGAGCTTCTCTGGGCAGGAGCTGTGTTTTGCTTATCTTAGGTGCTGGCAAAGAATGCTGAAAATACCCTGCTAAAAGAACTAACAAATCTGTCCTGGAAGAAGTGCAGCCAGAATGCTCCTTGGAAGGGAGAATGGCCAGACTTCGTCTCACCAATTTTGGTCATGTTGTCAGAAGGGACCATTCCCTGAAAAAGGATATGCTGGTAAAGTGAAGGGTCCACGAAAGAGGGGAACAAGATGGATTGACACGTGGCTACAGTGATGGGCTCAGGTATAGTAGGGATCGTGAGGCTGGCCCAGGACTGGCAGTGTTTCCTTCTGTTGTACATAAGGTCAATGAGTTGGAGATGACTAGATGGCACGCAACAACAATAGAGTCTCAAAGGTAGAATAAAGCCCATCTTTAATAAGCTCCCAACAGTTATCTACAAAATTGTACTGAAGTGACTATCTGAGAAAAGCAACGATTCTTTGGTTAATCAAGCTGTTAAGGGTTACTTTCACTTTTGACAACAGGGAAGGCGGTTCCTCAAAAATGGAATATCAGGAAGTCATCAGATCCACTCCTTGTTTCAATCACTTTGGATCAACTTTCCCCCATTTATCCCCTGGCCCCTTTAAAACTTGTACTGGACCCTGTCTGCCCCGCCTCAATGGGTTCCTTTGGTGACCCCAGCTTCACCTTGCAGGTATCTGTCGGGATATCCAAGGCCCATACTCCCAACTGGGCCACCGCGTCAAGGTGCTTTTTTTTTTTCAGGTACCTGCTACAACTCCCACGATCACCCCCATCAAGCCGGGGTTTCCAGTTCCCTCTGGGACGCTTTCGGGGTGGGTGGGTAGGGGGTGCAAGGGCACTGCACCCTCGCCAGCGCCGGTTGCCAAGAGCCTCCTCCCTACTTTTTTTTCGGGACAATGCTCTGGCGACCATTCGGGGAAGTGGACCCTGTCCCCTGCAAGGCCCTGCACCAGCGTTCGATTCGTCCTCGGAGAGAGAGGGGGAATCCTGTGTGTGTCTTTGTGCGGGGGTGGTGGTGGTGGTGTCTGAGGACGCTTTGGGACTAAGGACCCCATTCCCGGCCCAGACTCTTCCCACCCAGAACAAGCCGAAGCGGGCTTCATCGCTTCTTCTGTTCAAGCATCCTAGGAATCAGGGAAATAGAGGGGCGGGGAGAGTGAGTGGGGAGATAGCCCCCCTGGGCCAATTACAACGTCCTGCTCCTCTCACTCAGGGTGTCTCTGTCTCTCTCTTACACACACACACACACACGCACGCACGCACACACACGACCAGCTACTTCATTCAACTCCAGCTGTGAGCAAATTGCGACGCGCGCCTCACCCACTGGGAATTCACTGTCCTGGCCCGTGCCCAGGACACCCCAGCTTCTTCACCGCCAAGCCCAGTTCCCTCCTGTAACTGACCGTGAAGCCGGAGGCAGTTCCCCAGTCCCAGGCCTCTGGGGGGACTTTCGCTGCCGCCGCCGTCACCTCCTCCTGCAGTCCCTGACCCGGGACTCAGTCTCGGACTGCGGCGATGGCTCCTCGGCCTCTGGCGCCCGGCTCACTGGACTCGGCCAGAAACCCGGCGGGGCGCAGGAGAAGCCCATCGAGCTCCCGGCGGCGGCGACAGCAGCGGCAGCAGCGGCTGCAAGAGCGGCTGCCGCGCTGGCTGATGACACTCAGGCGCGGGGAGGAGGGGTCGGTCGCGCTTGGGTGGCGCGGGCAGATGACGTGTGGCGCTTGGAGCGATTCGACAGCATGGCGTCTGTGGCGCTCAGCGAGGCAGAGAAGGTGTACATCGTGCACGGCGTCCAGGTAGTTATAGTAGCAGGTCGACCGCTGAGTTACCCTGGCTCTGCGAGCTGCGGCTGACCCTCGGTTTGTCGGGTTGGGAAGCGGCCAGGTTGCCGCGAGTCTGGATTTACCTTGTGATTAAATGGCTCTTTGATCGGAGTCTGCATCCTGAAACCCGGAACGCGGGCGTTTTTAGGACTGGGCAGCGAGCATCCATTTAGGACTGTTTGTCGTATTTGCAGGTTTTCGGGTCTACAAGGCGGTGGGTGTACCCCGAGGCCTTTCCTGAAGTCTCTCCTGGGGGAAATGACCGTCCCCAGGGCCATCCCTTCACCTTTCTCGTGAGGCTTCACTTGGCCTAACCTGTTTTTTCTTCTAGGAAATGGTGGGAGGGTATTTCTGGCTCGCTTCCTCACCTGGAGGTTTGGAGGCACAGAGAGAGCACACATCCACCTTGAAGATATACCAAAGCCACTGCCATCCAGCCTATTCTGACCCTGTAGGACAGAATAGAACTGCCCCATAGGGTTTCCAAGGCTGCCTTCATCTTTCTCTTGTGGGGTGACTGGTAGGTTCCAATCATGGACCTTTTGGTTAGCAGTCAGATGCTTTTACACTGTGCTCCCAGAGCTCCCTTGAAAGATACATTGTTGTTGTTGTTGTTGTTGTGTGCCGTCGAGTCGGCCCCGACTCATAGCGACCCCTCCTTGGGTTTCCGAGGCAGTATCACTACAGAAGTAGGATTGCCCAACCTTCCTTCTGAGGAGTGGCTGGTGGGTTTGAACCGCCAGCCTTCTGGTTAGCAGTCAAGTGCTTTAGCCACTATGCTACCAGAGCTCCTTGAAAGATACATATGGCCTTACAAATGAAAGGGGAAGAATGTAATGGTTTAAAAGGCTGCTCTGCAGCCAGTAGCATCATTATTGCTGGTTCCCATTTTGCTAGTGGAGAACTAAGATTCCTGAAAACATCTAGAACCCAGTATCTTCTGTGCTCAAACTTCAGCCCTTAGTTTTGATCACTCCAGGAGGAGAGTTGGAGGATGTTGGGCCTACTAAGCAGCTATCCAGCTTCCTTCTATGACTAACCCCACCAAGTTCTTTAGCCTACCCCTGGCAGAATCTGATGGCAGCCCCTCCTCCTTCCCTTGCCCTTTCTCTGCTACAGCCAACTGCAGTCAGCAATCCCATGATGTAACTATTAGATTAAGGAAGCCAGCTATCATTAAAGCTCCACAACTGTGAGTTAAGGCCATGTCCTTTTTAAAATTGTGTCCTGCCTTTTTATCTTTCATGTCATAAAAAAACAAAACAAAAAACCAAACTCACTGTCATCGAGTCGATTCCGACTCATATCTACCCCCTTTGGGTTTCTGAGGCAATAAATATTTACGAAAGTAGATTGCCTGGTCTTTGCACGGAGTGGCTGTTAAGTTTGAACTGCCAGCCTTCTGGTTAGCAGTCATGCCTTAGGCACTATGCCACCATAGCTCCTGTGTCTGTTATACCAAAAAACCCCAAACTCACTGCTGTCAGGTCGCATCTGACTCATAGCAACCCCTCCGTGGGTTGTATTCTGAGGCAGTATCACTACAGAAGTAGATTGCCCAATCTTCCTTCCAAGGAATGGCTGGTGGGTTTGAACCGCCAGCCTTCTGGTTAGCAGTCCAATACCTTAGGCACTACGCCACATCATTATCAGCTAACAGGTTGGATAACAAACCTGGGTAATAGAGTCAGAACTCAGTTTCATGAACTTTTAAGTTATGCTTCAGCATCAGGAATAGGGAGATATATATGTATGTATTGGTGGCATAGTGCCTAAAGCCATTTGACAGCTAACCAGAAGGTTAGTGGTTCAAACCCACCAGCTACTCCTCGGAAGAAAGATTGGACAATCTACTTCTGTAGAGACACTGCCTCAGAAACCCAAGAAGGAGTCCCTATGAGTCGAAATTGACTCTGCAGCAATGAGGTTTTTTTTTTTTTTTTAATGTGTATGTTACTTGGATTTGTTGTTGTTGTTGTTATGTGCTGTCGAGCTGGACCCAAATCCTAGCAACCCCTCCTTGGGTTTCCAAGCCATTATTACTATGGAAGTAGATTGCCTAACCTTCCTTCCGAGGAATGGCTGGTGGGTTTGAACCACCAGCCTTCTGGTTAGTAGTCAAGTGCCTTAAGCACTATGGTACCAGAGCTCCCTACTTGGGTTTGTTGTTGTTGTTGTTATGTGCTGTCGAGTTGGACCCAACTCATAGCTACTCCTCCTTGGGTTTCTGAGGCAGTATCACTACAGAAGTAGATTGCCCCATCTTCCTTCCGAAGAGTGGCTGGTGAGTTTGAACCGCCAGCCTTCTGGTTAGCAGTCAAGTGCCTTAGGTATAAAAATGCTGATAAAGCAATTAGATTTGTCTTTCCCTGTCTTATTTTTTTTGCCTACCTTTTTCTGTACTGAGGGGGGAAAAAAAAAGACCTGATCTAGTCTGGGAGATTCCCTAAAGAAAAGGCATTTGAGCTGAGCTCTCTAAATGAGGAGTTAAGTAGTCATGACCCTTGTGAGAAGGACAAGATGGTGAATTCACAGGCCTGCAGCAAAAGAAGGTGTGGAGCCACAGAGATGAGCTGGGGATAGTAGTGGAAGTGACCAGAAACCCAAGTCATTCATCAGTTATTGATCTTGGGGGGTAATGATCTGTTGACTTATCTGTATGGTATTCCCAAGGCCTACCTAGTACTAGATGGTACCTGGCTTCCAATGCCAGCTGCTCAAAAAGGGATCAGAAGTAGAGATTCTACATAGAGTGGGAGGATGAATGTGGAACAAAATTCAAAAACACAAAAATGACCAGAATTACTGGTCGGATAGAGACTGGTTGGAACCTCCGAGACTGTGGCCCCAGGTTACCCTTTTGGCCTAGAAATGGACTCACTACCTAAGGCCTAGCTAGTGCCCAGCACTTGGCAGGTACTCAGTGACACTGAATAAGTAAGATTTTAAAAAAAGGGCTTTTTAAAATCATCTCTTTCTCTCGTTATCTCTCTCTCTCGCTAGTATCAGTAGGGCTAGAGTTGTTGGTAAATACTCACCTCTGTGTATCACAGAGCCATGCAGAGTAACTGACTTTAAATAAACCTCTTCATAAGGACAATTAACATTGACCACAAATTTGTATTTATGGAGCAGCAAAACAGAAATTGTTTGTTGTTATTATGTACCATTGAGTTGTCTCTGACTGATAGTGACCCTGTTTACAACAGAATGAAACACTGCCTGGTCCCATGCCAGGCTCACAATCCCTACTATACCTGAGCCCATCGCTGCAGCCACCATGTCATTCCATCTTATTGAGGCCCTTCCCCTTGTTCATTGACCCTCCACTTTACCAAGCATGACATCCTTCTGCAGAGACTGGTCCCTTCTTACAATATGACTAAAGCAGGTGACACGAAATCTGGCCATTCTTGCTTCCAGGAACATTCCAGCTGCACTTCTTCCAGGACAGATTTGTTAGTTCTTTTAGCAGTCCACGGTACTTTCAGCATTCTTCACCAACACCACAGCTCAAAAGCATCAACTCTTCTTTGGTCTTCCTTATTCATTGTCCAGTTCTCACATGCACAGAAAGTGATTGAAAATACCATAGTTTGGGTTAGATGCATCTTAGTCTTCAAGGAGATATCTTTGCTCTTCAGCGCTTGAAAGAGGTCTTTTGCGACGGGTTTTCCCAGTGCAATATGTCTTTTGATGTTTTGACTGCTGCTTCCATTGGCATTGATTGTAGAACCAAGTAGTATGAAGTCTTTGACAACTTCATTCTTTTCTCCATCTATTGTGATGCTGCTTATTGGTCTAGTTGTGAGGATTTTTGTTTTCTTTGTATTGAGGTGTAATGCATACTGTAGACTGTAGTCTTTAATCTTTATCCTCATTTTCAGAAAGCAGAGTTGTGATGTCTGCGTATCTTAGGTTGTTAATGAGTCTTCCTCCAATCCTGATGCCATGTTCTTCTTCATATAATCCACCTTCTCTGATTATTTGCTCAGTGAAAGGATACAACCTTGATGCACTCCCTTCCTGATTTTAAACCATGCAATATCTCCTTGTTCTGTTCAAACAACAGCCTCCTGATCTATGTATAGGTTCCTCATGAGTACAATTAAGTGTTTTGGAATTTCCATTCTTCAAAGTGTTATCCATAATTTGTTATGATCCATGCAATTGAATGCATTTGCATAGTCAATGAAACACAAGTAAACTTCTTTCTGGTATTCTTTGCTTTGAGCCAAGAGCCATCTGACATCAGCTATGATATCCCTCTTTCCACGTCCCCTTCTGAATCCAGCTTGCATTTCTGGAAGTTCTCTGTCAATATACTGCTGCAACCATTTTTGAACAATCTTCAGTAAGATTTTACTTGCATGTAATATCAATGATATTGTTCAATAATTTCTACATTCTGTGGAATCAGAAGTTATACTGAATAAGTAAAGGTTAGAATGCAGATAAATAAGTCTTTATTATATAGGATCTCCACTGACTCAGTTCTAAAATTGCCTAAACTTTTGTCTAGTTGGGCATTGAATGTCAGCAGTGCACCTTAAGCAGTGTCTATAAGGTGCACCTGACCTGAGCCATGGTATTTTCAATTGCCTCATATGCATGTGATAGCTGGACAATGAATAAGGAAGACCTGAAGAATTTATGCCTTTGAATTGTGGTGTTGGTGAAGAATATTGAATAGACCATGGACTGCTAGAAGAATGAACAAATCTATCTTGGATGAAGCCAGAATGCCCTTTAGAAGTAAGATGGTAAGACTTCATCTCACTTACTTTGGATATGTTATCAGGAGGTACTAGTCCCTGAAAGGTCATCATGTTTGTTAAAGGGTCAGTGAAAAAGAGGAGGACCCTCAAGGAGATGGATTGACACAGTGGCTGCCACAGTGGGCTCAAACACAGCAATGATTGTTAAGATGGTGTGGTACTGGACTGGACAGTGTACTGGAAGGCAACCTAACA